ATATATATATATATATATATATATATATATATATATATATATATATATATATATATATATATATATACGATGGCGATTGATTTGTTGCAGAAACTCAATGTTCTGAGGAGGGGGCAACAATGTATATGTAATGTTAGTTAGTGACAGCATGCAGTGAATAAGAGCGGGGAGTGTTTAGTACTGTAGAGTAACTTAAGTTGATTGACATGCTCTTATGGTATTTATACAACTGCGCGTAGTGTGAACGGAGAGAAGGCCGCTAGAGATTGCATGAGGTAGAAATAGAAATGAAGGAAGCGGCGCTGGTAATAACTGGACAGTAGTTCAATAAATAATAAGAAAGATAATATCTGAGTTGTATTTGCTACCTCGCGTAACATGACGAAGACAAGCCAACAACTTCGTCACAAATGGTGGAGGATGCAAAATATAAACATAGATGTTTGACATCATGAGTCTTGTCGGAAAGAGAGAGAACGATCACCGGACGAAAATACGCAGGCGAACACAAAGTATCTAGATGAGAGATTGGAATTGGACAAACATAACATGGAAGGTAAGACAATTGCTTTAAACGATTATTTTAGAAAATTCTTTATTGCGATATTTCGATGACTTTATGGTAGCCAGCCACAATTTCAAATATTGCCTTAGTGAGGTAAACATAGTTTTACGAAGGCTGAGAAATGCAAACTAAGCATTATCTGAATAGTTTCATTGCGCGAGAAGAGGTCAGGTATTAAGGGTACATAGTTTCAGTAATTGATATTCGCGTTGACAAAGTGTAAGGCAGTGCCAGAATTCCATGCCCATTTGAATGTAATTTCTAGAAGTAATGTTTTATTGGTTATTGAATTTATCCCCTAACAGATTTCAATTGAGCAGAGTAAATGTAAACACCTCGCGAATGCAGACGCGTTTAGCCGCCGCCCTTACCATGAGGAAAACGTTGAAGAATAAGACTTAGAAAAACATACTGACCCTGCACAGTTTTTTAATGATGCATATTTGAACAGAATACATATGTTAGACGCTATCTTGAGACAAGTACTTTACTTTGAATTAAAATAGAGTGGCTACGAATTTAAAGGTCTGGAATGCTTTTAACAGTTAGTGAAAGGTGACAAAAATATGACATTGTCAAAATGTCAAGATTGCGAGGCATTTGTTTTAAAGAGGTATTGTTTTAAAAACTCCAACGTAAAGATAAGAACCTTGCGTCAATTATCACACACTTGACATCAGACGAACTTCCACTTAGTTGCAGAGGCGCTTGGCTTCTTGTTGTTAGAGATGGGAGATAACGTGATAATTGATGGCAGATATCACCCCACCCAGGAGGTTCTTTGCAACTTGTTTTTCAGACAATTTAGAGTACAAAGTTTTGTCTAGTTTACACGACAACGCAATCAGTCATAAGGTTATTCAAAACACGTAATTACTATTACGCACACGAAGTATTTTTTAGAAAAGGTCATTTACAGATGTCATTATGTTCGTTCTTGTGTTGAATGTTTGACAAGGAAAGTTCCTCCAAAATAACTCCAGGGCTTCATTGCTAACTTTGCCCATAAACAAAAAGAGTAAGAAAAACTAGAAAAATGAAGAAAAACGAGAAAATAAGACTGCAGGACAAGCGAATTTGTCCTAGACCACCGATGAATTATTTAAAGTAGAAGCCTTACGAGGTCGCGTCAGATAAAAAGTTGAAGCACAGTCTCTTATTTAGTAGAAATGGATTCCCTTTTGGTTAGAATATTAGGGATCCAATTGAAAACTAAACGAGGCGTCATTAAAGGGAATAACATAAGAGTAAAGGAAAAGAAGAAAATATATTAAGTCGTGTGTCAATGAAATAGAACACGCCCGTTTAAAATTTGTTGAACAGACGCAACTGACATTAATACGCTGTATGACGGACAGTAAGATGGGAGTAGCAAACGCGACGAAGTTGAATTCTAATTGGATAGAATTAAGATATTTATAAAGAGACTATTTTAAAGTGATGTCATTAAACTTTTTATGGAAAATATTAAAAGATGCTCTTAAATGTCAATGCCATTGACGTTAGGCGAGGGGGATAGGCTCCCCGAAGCCCTGACGTCAACAGGCGGCAGTGGAGTCGCAAGGCTCTGGGGGCACATTAAAGAAGTGCTATAGTGCTGTGGGAGAAGACTGAAGGCCCACTGTGTCTCGAATCCTGAATTAACAGGATACTGTGATACCGTCTAGTCGGCTCAGTGTGTATAACGGTTCACTGAGTGGTACGGGGACGACAGTCCTCACCTAGCCATGCGTAGTTGATGCGGTTCCAACACGGTGGTGAACAGGCAAGGCTGGTGAAAACGGTTAAAGTTCCGATAACCCATGGCAGTGGGACCGGGATCAGACCGTCGGTTGCTCCCTGGGAGCCTGGTAAGCTCTACGGGATTGAGTGATCGCTATCGACTGGGTCACCGGCCGGTTGGGTCGCAAAAGGCAGTAAGGCTTATGAATACCAGCCGCGCTCAGCTCAATGTACAGTCAGGCCCTAGCAAACTGAAAACGAATGAGCTAGTAAGTGAGCTAGTGGGAAAGGTACTCAGCCTAGGTTGCGCCCCTGACAAGGAGGGGAGACTGGAGAGTATAAGCGATATAAATACTAAAATCTGGGACGCCAGATTGCGTTATTATTATTTTTATTATTAGCATAAGTATTATTATTAGACATATTATTGTATTATTAGCATGGTTCCATATATGTTTAATTGTTATCATAATCTTTTGGATGAATAATACTATGGCATGTTAAAAATCGTGCTTGTTAAATGTGACTGTATTCAAGTTTGATGATGATTGTTATAATATACGTAGTTAAGTTTTTCTTGACATGCATTTCTGCTTCATTCATTCTGGATATATTCGTAAACGCTGGACATAGACATTCGTGGATATACAGGGAACTGTGAACATTTATCTACACGTATGCCAACGTGCGCGAATAAGACGTTTATCCATATACAGTGAGTGGCAGATGACAATCACTATGCACTGTCTAGAAGGACATTATATGCTAACTGAACTTTCGTGCTAAAATTCAATGGAGGATGTAACGGACCATACCAAATGGAACTATTCATTTGTGGGAAATGAACTTTAGATTTTATTGGTTAACTTTGCGTCAAATGTTATTGCATGTGGTTATAAGAAAATGTTAAATATTGTGTATTGAATATTAAATACGTGACTTATGATAAGTATATCTTTATTCAGCCTGTCGGTCTTATAGTTATTAGTTATTGATATTTAACTATACAGTTATTGGTATAGGAACAGTGTACTTAACTTTTATAAAGATGATGACGTGAAACTGATGATATGCACTAAGGAAGATTCTTACTTAATTATTTTTCGGTATGTTTTTTTGTTCAATCGTGGATTGGGTTTGATATAAAATGATTGTTTCTCTTATAGCCATCAAAAGAGAGCGCTACAGTGTGGACAAATATGATGATGAACAAGTACTTCATCATGAACGATGCGCTGGTCGCAACGTTGTGGTGACTGCTGTTCATTGGACAGGGAGTGATCGGCCCTATTGTCTCACGTAGTGCATCCCAAGAACATCTCATATGGCAAACGAAAGAGAGAAACTATATAATAAAATGTGTCAGAGCCACAATAAGAGAGTAACAGATTTAAACATCCGCGCGGAGAAAACAAATAAAAATATCTGTGCTCTTGAGCCGCACATTGAAAGGTGTAAATGCCGATACGAAATATATCCACGAACACTTGCATTTTCATAAAAATTTATCAATCTATCTTCCTTTAAGTTATATTTGGGGTTTCATGTCAATTTTATTTCTATCTTATAGTAGGTTTATAATACAAAATCTATGTACTTAGTTTTGATTTGCATAAATTTATGATAATAGACAAATGCAGTGTTTAAGAAAGTTTATTTTTAATTAATGTATATTTTAATTTTAAATATGCCTAGGGACAGGCATATCGTCCCCGGGAGATAATGTAATGTTAGTTAGTGACAGCATGCAGTGAATAAGAGCGGGGAGTGTTTAGTACTGTAGAGTAATTTAAGTTGATTGACATGCTCTTATGGTATTTATACAACTGCGCGTAGTGTGAACGGAGAGAAGGCCGCTAGAGATTGCATGAGGTAGAAATAGAAATGAAGGAAGCGGCGCTGGTAATAACTGGACAGTAGTTCAATAAATAATAAGAAAGATAATATCTGAGTTGTATTTGCTACCTCGCGTAACATGACGAAGACAAGCCAACAACTTCGTCACATATACACCCTGACATTAACCCTACTGAGCACCTGTGCGTGAATACAGAGGAGAACCAATTCCCTAATAATCTGGACCAACTCCGCCAAGCTCGTAAGGAAGAGAAGTGAATATTTCTCAAAGCAGAATCGTTACCCTTGTTGAAAGCTTATACAGTAGGCGGTAGATACACACATTATATGATACCTGACCTTTAACGACCACATCTTAATGCTATTTGTGTGTAAATTAGGTGATATTTAGCGGTCTCTTTTCAATTTCATGGGAATTTCTTTAACTCGCTGAAAATCACAGTGAAACATTGGATTGGAGGGGGACATGTTACAATTTTGAATAAATGGGTCAAAATGTGGATATTCTCTATTTTGTATTTTTTAAACCATTATCCAGGTTACATATGGCATCTGAAAAAAATGTCTTTGACAATTTACACCTGTGAGGCTATCATTTGTAAATAAAAGCACGTGGGATTGGGGGTGGGACAATATTTTTGACCAATGTTGTAAATATATTGTTCGTATTTTTTATAAGGACGGTTAGTGAGTACAAGAGAAAAATCATTTGGATTTAGCTTTATTTCGGAGGGAAAATCCCGTAAAAAGTACATTCGTATTTCTTACCTATCTTTTCAAGTTCAGCGACGCTATAATTTCTGTCTGGGGTAAACGTTCTGACAGACCCATTCACTTTTACTTCCAATGTTGTATTCCCATTGATAAGGACATCTTTGATTTTATCCAGGGTGCTGTTGGATGTTCCATTTTGTCCCAAGAAACTCTTAACAGCAAATATTAAGTTGTAGTCTATGATGATACTTCCATTTCTGAAACAAATTAAACTGACTCTTAATGACTGACAACAGATGACAGAACACAAGAAACTACAAACTTGTGAACAAAATTTCGTTTTTAGAATGAATGGCAACACAAAAATATATACCAAATTTCAATATTTACTCTGTAATGAATCTGAAAATGTATGTTATTCGAATGTTACCTGTCACCAGTGTCAAATAGCTTTTGTTTCGTAATAAAATAGAAACAAAAAACACTTTAAACTGATCATACATCGCTTTTGTTGATCACTTTTTAAACCATCCACAGCAGCAGATTGCCTTTTTGACTTTCAAGTAGAATCACGTATCCCCATCTTACCTAAAACCGATGATTTCTACATCTTTGAGGCCTTCTATGCCGGACGAATTGAATTGGTGAAACAGCTGAAACACGTAGAGTTGTAGCACACTATAGACGTAGCCACTGGTTGATTCAGTGTACGTTTTTTGTTATTTGTAAGTCAACACAATTTAAGTGCTTGCATTTGCTACTTACAATATACAGGTATTTTCCATAAATCTTCCCATGCAACTTTGTGGGACATTTTTTTTTCATTTCAGCTATTATATTAAGAAACAAATGTGTTCATAGAATAATAAAATATAAAAGTACCTGTGCTCTCAAATTGTCTTTGTTTTCATTGAATACACTTTCATCTTTGCTGAAATCTCCCTCCGGCAATCGGAATTCCAGCTTCACTTTCTTGTCCAGCTCCTCAATGTCCTTTACATCTGTAACAGCTCATATATTAAACTTAAAAAACAATGCACCGAGTAACAGTTAACTTTTAAAACCAGTCTGCGACGTTACCCACTGGTCGTACGCCCACGGAAAGTGATTATTTGTTACGACTAGTAGATTTTTTAGAATATGTAGATTTAGTGATTCGACTTGAAAATTACATTTTCATCAGAATGTTTTCAAAAGATCTTCCATTTCTTATCAAATGTAGCTGTTGCATGATGTTTCTAAAAAGGTTTGGTAAAATCAAAGTATTGTGATTATAGATATTAAAGGGATAATAACTCTTCGTTTCGACCAAAAAATGAATTTTCCTGGAGTAAACAACAATTTCCCCATACTTACCAATGGTTGATGAATCAATTTTTACATTCAAAGTTAGTCCCTGTTTTTTTTCTAAAAAGTTTGTTTTTTTGTTAAAATCTCTTAAGAGATTATAACAGATTATAGCCACCAATGGAGGTTACGTGGTGTGAAGACAAGCTCAGATATCAGAATAATAGTTATAACTCCTGTTTTGTTGTAAAACATAAAATATTATATTTATATGAGTTATTAACAATGTATTTATTGTGAAATATAGACCTCATACGAAGAGTTATTATTCCTTTAATGGAATGGTCCAGTATTATTGAAACTTGCATTTGGACCAGCAAATCCTGATTTGGACCAGTAGATATTAGGAGACTGGCGATCCGGATGGCCAGTAAGCCGAAATTTTAATTTAAGGCACAGACATTACTAATAGGGCTTTTATAAAAAGCGACAAATATAATAGTGTTTCGCAAAAAATAAAAACAGCGTGGCATTGGGTATATTTAAATAGTTTCCTTTAAGATGATACATTTAAATGCTACACGACACCCCATTTATTTATACATGGGCGAACAAATGTAGAGCAAAAATAAAAGAGGTGAATATGCGTTACTTGGAACGTATGCTCGCTTTGTAAGTGACTTAGAGGTCACACAAGCGGATAATGGTAATTTAGAATCATGGCGTACGACAAGTGACAATGGACAAAAAAAAAAAAAAAACATAAATATAGTACGTATGTCGACTTCTGGTTGCTTTTGTATTTCCCTCAAAATTGACGGCAATATTGAAAAGAACTCAATCTTAAAAGTAGCAACCAAACTTATTTTACTGTTATAAAGATGTACAGGAAAGAACACTGAAGGGTGTGATTTTGGGCTTACGGTAGTAAGTGGACATTGGTCATTTTCCAATGAGCATATTTACTGGTGACGTCATCATTGCTCTCATAGATGTACACAGTGAGTTTAAGTTTCTCAAATTGATTCAACTTATCATCTTTTGTGCAAGTAAGTCTCGTTTTGGTGAGATCTGAGTCAGCACATTTAGACAATGCTGCTCATCTGATTATAATAAATTTCGAAATTGCCTCCCTATCAAAAATTGACAAGCACTAAATGGTCAATCAACGTGAAAAGTTTAATGCGTTTATCAACTGTTGCACAATTGTAAGGCATAGCCGCCTGACAATATACTTATTTAAATTGAATTATAACGACACTCGTCGATATTTCTTTAATGAAACTAAACTTTGGCTGTGCGCCAGATGTTGTAGAAAAAAAATTGACTTGAAATACGTCTCAAAATATGGCAATTTTTACTACCTAGTGTCCAGCCTTCGATTACCTTTACCACGTTTAAGATACAAAATCTTAGTGTTAAATTTCTAACACTTCAGTACATTTAAACTTTTAAACAACAGATTTTACAGATTATTTTACAGATTTTTATTTCACAACATACAATACTTTGTGTTTTTATTAGCTTAATATTTATAGTTATCTTATATTACACGTATAAAATCAGTGCTTACCGAGTTTCAACTCCGTTGGCACAGGTCTGGTGGTCTTTACAACTGCGGGCGTAGTTTTCATCGACGAAGCGGTATCACCTTCCCATCTGTAGTTTTTACAGTAGACGTCGTTGTTGTAGGGGCAGAGGTATCACCTTCACCCGTAGTTTTCACAGTAGACGTCATTGTTGTAGGGGCAGAGGTATCACCTTCACCTGTAGTTTTCACAGTAGAGGTCGTTGTTGTAGGGGCAGAGGTATCACCTTCACCTGTAGTTTTTACAGTAGACGTCGTTGTTGTAGGGGCAGAGGTATCACCTTCACCTGTAGTTTTTACAGTAGACGTCGTTGTTGTAGGGGCAGAGGTATCACCTTCACCTGTAGTTTTTACAGTAGACGTCGTTGTTGTAGGGGCAGAGGTATCACCTTCACCTGTAGTTTTTACAGTAGACGTCGTTGTTGTAGGGGCAGAGGTATCACCTTCACCTGTAGTTTTTACAGTAGACGTCGTTGTTGTAGGGGCAGAGGTATCACCTTCACCTGTAGTTTTTACAGTAGACGTCGTTGTTGTAGGGGCAGAGGTATCACCTTCACCTGTAGTTTTTACAGTAGACGTCGTTGTTGTAGGGGCAGAGGTATCACCTTCACCTGTAGTTTTTACAGTAGACGTCGTTGTTGTAGGGGCAGAGGTATCACCTTCACCTGTAGTTTTTACAGTAGACGTCGTTGTTGTAGGGGCAGAGGTATCACCTTCACCTGTAGTTTTTACAGTAGACGTCGTTGTTGTAGGGGCAGAGGTATCACCTTCACCTGTAGTTTTTACAGTAGACGTCGTTGTTGTAGGGGCAGAGGTATCACCTTCACCTGTAGTTTTTACAGTAGACGTCGTTGTTGTAGGGGCAGAGGTATCACCTTCACCTGTAGTTTTTACAGTAGACGTCGTTGTTGTTGGGGCAGAGGTATCACCTTCACCTGTAGTTTTTACAGTAGACGTCGTTGTTGTAGGGGCAGAGGTATCACCTTCACCTGTAGTTTGTACAGTAGACGTCGTTGTTGTAGGGGCAGAGGTATCACCTTCACCTGTAGTTTGTACAGTAAACGTCGTTGTTGTAGGGGCAGAGGTATCACCTTCACCTGTAGTTTTCACAGTAGACGTCGTTGTTGTAGGGGCAGAGGTATCACCTTCACCTGTAGTTTTTACAGTAGACGTCGTTGTTGTAGAGGCAGAGGTATCACCTTCACCTGTAGTTTGTACAGTAGACGTCGTTGTTGTAGTGGCAGAGGTGTCACCATCGCCTGTAGTTTTCACAGTAGACGTCGTTGTTTTCGGTGCAGCGCTCTTACCTTCATCTGTAGGTATCACACTAGCCGCATTTGTTGTTTTATATTGTTCGGTAGAAATTATTAAAATTGTGGTAATCTGTAGGAAGTTTCTTGCACAATGCATCATTCAGTTCATCTTACTGGAATTATAATGTAAATATTGTCAATTAAATGCCTTCCCTGCAGTATTAGACATTGACTTAAAACATCTTTTCCGAAATGTTGCGCCAACTTTAATCATTCAAAGTCACTTTTGTAGAATAACACAGTAAGTTCTACGTCAATTTTATGTACGTAATGAGAAAAACAACACCTTTTTATTAAATTTAAATTATTAATGCCATTAATTTTTGTATCTTAAGCAACGTTATTGTGGAACTTTCAAAAATTTATTCACCGACTCTGTTTTTAAGCAATTTCACAACTCTTACTAATCATGCATTTACTTTTTTTATTGTCTTTGCGTGATTACATGCAAACTACCATGCAACATTTCCTTATTAGGTAATTTTAAAGAGACTTGTTTTTAATTGAAATATTAAAAATATTATTTGAATTACACATGCTCGGACCATATCAATCCTTAGTTTACATGTTGTTTACACGTGTCAGAAACTTTCAAATCTATTGAGAAATAACCAATCAAATCGAACTTTATGCGACTTTGAATTGTTCCATCTTTTCCTACCACGAAAACATTTTTTACATTTTAAGCCATTTAAATTATGTATACACAAACTCTTGCGTCTCAGATGTAACTACATGTATTAGATTGTGCCTCGAGAAATACTAGATTAACATTACTTTTTATCAACTTGTTTATATTTAATGTACGCAGTCGGTCAAATCATATTAATAATCTATTACACAGTATCGCTTTGCCAAGACAATAAGAGGAAATAAACTAAGTGCTTGGATACGCGAATGATGCCCTGTGCTGCAGCAATTATGACGTGCATAGGAGTAAGGCAGCATTCTCCTACAAGCTGTCTTATGTTCACTTTGTATGTTAACTAGTTAAGTAGAGATCCCAAAAAACGATGTAAACTGGATTTTTACAGAAACTCCAGTCCCTGCTATTGATGGATGGTACGATCCTCCTTGCAACGAGTACCGAGAATGCCATTTGAAAAATGGGTATCCTTGTAGATTTTTTGGAAATAAATCAATCTAAAACTGAATTTGTAGTCATTTAAGACTGAGTCACACTTAGCTTGCAACCTTTTGGCAACCTCTTTGCAACCTCGGTCGCAAGGAGTTTGCCATAGATTTTAAAGTGGTCGCATAAGCTTGCTAACAGGTCTCCAGCGATAATTGATCCATGAAGGCCATTTCTGTGCACCGACAACCAGTGCGAGTAAAGATGAAGCACACTGATATCCTAAAGGGAATTTTGGTATCTTCTTGGTTGCCAGTAGGTCCCTATAACCAGTGGCATACCATTTGCAACAGCACTGTCGACTGACGGCATTTAGTCGTCTGGTCGCCAAAAGTTTATGTAATGTGCGAATTTTTTACGCTTTATACGTTCATTTATTTTATCATTTTGCAAACATCATGTCTACATATGCTGATACCTTCAATGCTTCATCGCTGTGTGTTATTTAAATTTCCCAAAGCTATTTTACAATGTACTAACCGTGTTGCATTTGTTTTGCGCCTAATTGGGTACTTGATTGATGTCATCTTTTATAAAATACCTCTGATTTTATTTGTGAAAAATATATATGAAGAATTTTTTTAAATGACTCCCATGAAGAGAATTCGGGCTAAATGACTTAAAAGGGGGTCTTTCCGATATGAGAAAAAATGAAACATATCCCAAACTTTTTCTTATGTATGAAGGTCACGATCTAAACCAAAATTTGCCTTTGAGGTAGACGGCAATCAAAATAATTAATTATTTCAAATTCGAGTCTGTATTGGAGAACGTCCTCTCCCCAAAAAGAGAAGACGTCTACTGCAAGGTTTTAGCCAATCAGAGTGCGTTGCCTAAAATAGCACTCGTACACAAGGAGAAACAAATATGGCGCGGTGGAGTTCGAAGTAAGTCGTTTACGGATGCACGTTAGTTACAACTCTTTCCCTTCATTGTTCGTGAACAGGTTTGTGCACTTAAACATTAAAAGAATTCATTTAACTTCTCGTCGGTTAAAATAGTCCAAAATTCACTGATTGGCTTGGAAATATTTACGACGGAGTGTAATCTATTATGTCAACAGTGCGTGATACCATAATTCTCAATGCCGATTCACCGAATTAATGAGTAACTTGTACCAGGAAATGTACCGGTGACATGATTAAAGACAGTGATATTTTTCGGGTCAATTGAACCAGCCCTTTTCAGATGGATATTTATGAACGACTGTTACTTTTTGTTGTTTGCTATGCTTTCTGAGCCGCAATTTTGACACCGCGATTTGCACGCACAACGTAGCACGGACTACAAATGCGTTCCAGACGATTTTGATACTTACTGGCAGTAGTGGTGAGCATCGTGCAGATGTCATAATCGTCAATAGGAGTGCATGAATTTTGTGCTACGCACACACGTGTCTTATCTTGCTTTTCTAGTCGATCTGTTTTTATACCTTTCAGATCGAGAGTATATAGGCCTATTGTTGATGAGGCAAGCAGTCAGAGCAGTCCAGAACTAGAGGGTATAAAGAGCTCCCTGAGGTAAAGACTTTTCTGTTATTTTTAAATAATACAGGCCTTTTAGTTAATCTGGCATATTCCTTAGTTTTGACAGTAATGTGTAGGACCCACCTAACCCTCACCTAAATTCACATGTAATAATCCACACATACAAAAAAAAAATAATTTTGGGATTAACAATTGATACGCTTGAGTGCAGGACAATGATTAATTGAAGTGAAACCCATTTTGAACTGTTCACAACATTATAATATAACTAGCATGCAATTAAATCAGTGCCAATTATTACTATAATTATTATAAGTTTTATTATTATTTTACAGCATACTATGTTGTGATGTCAGCCTCATTAGAAAAGGCCCTGTATAAAGGTTTAGTAGAGTTGGCAGTGATACATAGCACTTCTAGGTCCAGTGCTACAAGGCTTGGAAGAGGTGTGAGATCAGGAGGATTGACCCAAGGACATGAAAGGAGAATTCAATAACTCACAGAAGAGGTATAAAACTCATCAAATCTTTATTGAACAGATAAATTTTAAGTTTCTCACAATACACAAACATCATTCATATTCCTTCTTATTTTCAAAGTAAATGTATTCAATTAAATTTGGTGGTGTTAAATCGAGTTCTTATGGTTATTAAAGTGTTCATACATTTTCCAATAATTTATTTTTGCAGTAAGCTATTGTACTTATCAAAACAGATATAAAAGTGAACATTTTTTTTTTCATTATCAGAGCATACATGATGGTGTTGCCAAGAAAAGTGCTGAATACATTGTGACCAGTGTGACGAAAATCCTGGCCTTGCACTGGATATAAAGATGCTTTTGCTAGAGAATTTACCAGGCAATGACCCAGCATCAGTGGAGATGGGACTGGCCCATCTCCCGCTCACTGTAATGTCCCCTACATTTTCACTGCTGTTGAATTTGCTGGATTACTTCTCTTTGAAGAAAATCACAGAATAACTATTACCACGAGCATCAGTTTACTGACCAAACATTCATAAGACCTGTAATATGCAAGTCACTGAGTAGAAGGATTCTTTTCATTCTACTGTAATTTGTGCAACAATTCATTAAACATAAAAAATAAAGGCATGAAAAATAAGGTGCTTTCATTTATCCGTTCCTCATACCAAAAGTAAAATGCAACTCTGTACATCATCTGTTCATAAAATCAATCATTTTCAAAGTTATATCCTACAAGGAAATAATGTATGTCTGGATGGATTTATTTAAAAAAACAGTTTATGTGAAGTTATCATCATTTTGATTAAAAAAAATTCTTATATACATATAAGGACCACGGTGTCTTGAGTCTCTTGATTCCATCTGCACCATGGCTGCTAAGAAATGTGTAATTGTAATTCCCATGTCAAATTCCTGGTTTGTAAGACTGGAATGTACCTTTATTCGTGCTAATTGTTTATGTAACAGCTTGAGGTCTTACTGTCATCCATGATTTTGAGTGCTTGCTTTGCTGCTTAGTATACCTAAAAACAAAACATTGACTATTGGAAAGACTTCAATGCATTTTTGTGAAATCAATAGCACCCACTATCTGTAATGTCTACGCCAGACATAAGAGCACTGAATACAGCATGATTATCAAAATGATTTGTTTCAAAATCCAATTTATTATATAATGTTCCTCACAATAAGTACTGATATCCTGTGCTTGTCACGATTCTGGGACAAACCTGCCATGGAAGTATTAAACTTTATAATAAAATGGCATTGTTCCAAGTACTAACATGCATTAGATTTGTATTGATGGCAGGGTTTACTGAACATGGTAAAATGAACAGCTATTGTTTGTTTGGATTCTGGGTGTCAGGTACTTACTTTGGCTCTGGCTCTCTGTTGCACGGTTAAAACAAGATTGGCCTTGAACCTGATGTAGGGGTAGATGTTACCACATGCATATTACCTGGATTAAAAAAAAATTACCAATGAATTATCCTCATTCCCCAGAGATTCCCCATGAAGTCAACTTTAAAAACGTAAACAGATAATAAACATATACTACCATCAGATGCTACAATTAATGTGCTTGCTTTAAATCTTTTAATTTAAATTAAATTCGAATAAGGTTAATCGTCAAAGGTTTTTTTTGGGGGGGGACTTGAGTATAAATACGACGTTAAGTAAGCCGACAAAAACCAGTCTTTAATAGAAGACTATTTAGCTCAATCCTTGTTTGTACTGACTGCTCTAAAGAATAATAAACTTTTCTGCGTTCGGCAGTTATAACAGGGGCGGATCCAGAGATATTTTCTGACAGTCTTCCGAGTTATGTTGATCCATCCTCCATTTTTGACCGCCTTTCGACAGAAATGTTACATATACCCGTCAATGAAAACTTCAAAATCTAACCGTCTTCCGGAAGAACCAGAAGACGGCCTAAATCCGCCTCCTGAATATGTTCTCAATAAAAGAGTCGGACGTGATAAGAGGTCGAAATAACTTACCCGTATCTGGCAGGATTTTTGTCAGTTTTAGTTCCTACTTCTGCTTTGTCTACCTCACTGGCCTGCCAATGAAAATAACATGCCTCTGCTTCTGCATTTCCCGTTTTATTTCCTTTTTCATTGTCCCGTAGAGTAATTCCTCTCTCTTTCAACCCACGTGTACTCGGACTACCCTCCATCTTGGTTTGAAGTAACATCCGGGTCTTCTCCAGAGCATACTAAACAGTAGTATTCAGTCATATGCAAATTGAGGCAAGTCCCAGAATTCCACGCGTAGGGGGAGTAATGGCGAGAAGTTTAGACAAATAAAAAATGCTGCGCTTTTTTTTCCTTTAAGTGATTTTAAAAACCTATACCTTGATCTTTATTTTCTCAACGGTTTCGTGTGAGACATGTTTTGGGGTTCAGGATCAAATAAGCAAAGTTTCAGAGAAAGGCCTATTAAAGGGTGTCTTTCCGATGTAGGGTAAGTTTAATAAAATATCTGAAATTTTATTGCATATGTTCCGACAGGTTAGCATACATATTGGTTTATGTGCTGTGGAAAGAATCACATTATTGGACAATGTATGCACAGGTATTGTGTTATCGGTGCTGAGAAATGTACACAGGAATATGCTGCTATTGTATAAAGTGCTTTCTTTGGATTCGATCCTAGGGTAAAAGCAACCAGCGTCCTGTGTATCATAAAACACTTCAGGTTTCCTGGTGTCACTACAAATACCTCCAAAAATAAAACAAGCTGTCTATGCTTTTATGTTTAACAAAGGGCGTACTTTTTTTTTTTTTTTTTTGGGGGGGGGGTGGGGTGGGGGGGTACGTGTATTTCATATCACTGTGCCCACATTACGTTTGCGGCGTTCCTAATAAAGCTTTAAGTTCACTGTTTACTTGTACCTTAATGTTATATCCTGCAAACACGAGGTTTGATAAGCTTAAGCTCCCATCACTAGTGGGCTTGATTTGATCTTAAAGTGCAATTTAAGAGCACAGATACAACGGTAGTCTTACATGATCTTAAAACATGAGTAAGACCATTTCTAGTCTGACAGCCAATTAAGTTGTCTCCCCTTATACATTCTCCTATTGTGAGCAGAAGTGTCCTCTATTGTGAGGGGAGGTATCCGCCATTGTCAGGGAAGGAAATTGCTTGACCACTGAAGTAGATGTTAGATAATTTTTTATCTTTTAAAAAAGCAGATTCACTTCATTTTAAGACTACTGCTGTATTGATTAAGGCCGTGTAAGATCACGTGTGAACTTAAATTGCACTTTAAGACCAAATCTAGCCCACTAGTGCATGCCACGTACATGGAAAGGACATAATGAAAAATAAATGTCTTTCCCCGAAATGTCCAACAATATATGTACATGTAGGTTGGTTGATAGTCGATTGCGTCTCTTGTTATCAGGTTATTATCTTTGCTTAATTGAAATTTGCCACAAATAAAGAAGACTGGTCAAAACCACACCGTGCAGGATACTGTTTCCGCACTAAACGTATTACACGCAGCTGTCCCTATTTTATCTGTATAGATAAAATGCTTCAAAATGAGATCATTAGTTGTTCTAAAGAATGTCAACCTATCTTTGTAAAGTCTTTGCTTGGGTTATTAATTACAACGTGTTATTTCAAGTTACACAGAATTACTGTTTGCACTTGGATTAGCCATGCACCGTTATCAATCTGTTCTCTTTGTCACGAATGCTATTCTTGCAAC